AGCCTATAAACTCGTACGCTTAGCCCTGTGAATGAGTGTGTGTGTGTGTGTGTGTGTGTGCGCACACAGGCATCCACTTCCATTTTTATGATAGTTTCTGCACCGCCGTTTATTCTGTTTCTGGATGAGCCAAGTACAAAATGTACAAATGTAACTCACTCTTCAGACTTGACACTCTCTGAGAGTGTGATGGATATTTCCTTGGATCCGGCTGCTGTATCCTCTCTGTTCACAAGGGGGCAGGCAGGTACAACTGACAATGACAGAAGAGGGCACTCGTACAATATGTACATGCTCTTTATATTAATATATTTACATTTCACCATAAATTACCTCTACGACTCCCTCCCTCATTATTCAGCAATATCTATCCAAAGTTGCTAACATTAGTCACCATGAGTTACTGGTCATACCAGACCAAATAAACCTGTAGCAGCAAAACCCTTGAGCGTATTGAACTTTTGACAACTTGTATTTGAACTACTGAGCATTGATAAGGAAGGAATGTGTCATTTCTTCAGTCAAAAGTGACACAGTCTCATTTGAATCTCCATGAAGGATCCTGGTATATTCACAAGGAACATCTTGTTCACATACTTGGTTGCCTTTCTGTTCATGTCATCATGTAATTATTTGCTTTAAGGAGAAGTAGACTAGATGGACCAGAGTTGCTCTCAGCTGCAACATGAATTGTCTGTAGGCCACATACAACAGATATATCAAGAACACACTTCGGACGAGTACGAGTTGACAGATCCCCCTGGCTTTGTCCGGCTTGCCTAACAGACAAGCAGGCTTCTCTCGCCGGAGCCACCAGGGGCAAAAACAAAAGCTGCCTTTGTCTTTTAATCTGTCAATCATCTAAGAATAAAGTTGACATCACAGGTATGGCACACAGAGATGTTTCTGCCCTCTCTGCTGTCTTATTAGAAACTATTAGTATATTAATTGTATTTGTGTGCGTCTGTCTTTGCTTTGTGTGTACTTTGTAATACATCTGTGGAAATTGTGGTGGGGTATTACTCCTTTGTGGTCCCACGTGACCAGCATTGCGTTGTCCTTGCATATGGAGATGTTTTTAAGCCAACATTCTCTCCACAGGATGACTAAATATATTGAAAAGGATTAGCTAACTAAATAAAGTGTCCCATCAGCCCTGTGGGAGACAAGGTTTATCCAAACATGTATCTCAGGGCAGCCTGCAGTGAGATCCCCGTGCCCAGGCAGAGAGGGGGGCCGAGGCTGGATCGCTGCCCCAGTTCCATCCAGCAGAGGCAGGGGGCAGGAACCAGGGTGCATCCCTCAAGCCCCATCAGCTGCCATACAGAAAGCTTCGAAGCCAGCAGACCTCGAGAGCAGCAAGGTTTGAAAGAGCTATTCCATGTGCATTTTGTCCAAGCATCCGTCCAACCCAGAGCCGGCATGGTGTACAGGTAGGATATTCATGCTCTGAAGAAGGGTGCACGCATTAGTACATTCAGACAAATGAAATGAATGCAGACCATGCTGCTTTATCTGATATAGTGTTGGAGAGCTTGTAGAAGGGGATTTACAACATTTACATTGCTTACATTTTACATCATTTCTGCTTATTTTAATCTGTTCAAAGGTAAATGTAAAGTTAGTTTAAGACCAATAAGGGGGGAAACAGCAGCCTGTTCGTCAATTCACTCTGATTTGTGTCATTAATAAACCACTGGAAGTATGGATTAAAGTTGAACTGTTCTCAGCGGGGTCTCTGTTCTGTTAAATACCTAATGCTTTCATCATCTCCTGATAAGGAAGAGTCCTTCCTAGCACAGCGAGACTCCGGCACTAATTCCCATCCGCAATTAGACTTGACGTTTATGGCACATGAGGCCACCGTCAGACATGCTGCATGTGTCTTCAGTGGTCACGGCAGGTTTCAGGGCTGTGGAAAGACTGAGGATTTGAATAAGTAATGAAGTATAGTGTATGGCTTATGTTTGAGTTGATTGTCATAGCAAAGCAGAAAGAAAGTGAGCTTTCAGCGGCGATAATCCCATGTATAATTAATGGATGTGTGGCTGGTGTATTGAATTAGACCAAGTCCAATTATTTTTTTCTCTTGTGTTTACACTCACAGTGTTGTTTATGATACCAAATCCATACTACTTCATAGCAAATATGATTTCGGGAGTATAATGAATAAAGAACTGAAATGTAAGACTGTGACAAGCAGTTAGAACCGAGTGTACCGTAGCCTTGGTTGTACATCAAGCATGAAATGAACAGAAAGAGTGACTTGTCTAAAAAATATATTGACATTTCAGATCATAAACTTATTTGTTTTATTGCCAAAAATGAGATGAGAGGATCCATTTTCATGCTGGTAGGCTAAACATGAAGTGGCCATGAATAGACTGTTAGTTTAGCGTAAAGAATAGAAGCCATGGGATTGGGGAAACAGCCTGTAACCTCTGTCCAAATTTACTGAAATAAATTTGCTGCCAGCACACCTATTTTTTTGCTTTTCATACTTCTTTTGTTTCATTTAAAAACCAAAGTCACAAGCTGTGACCATAAAGTATCTTGGTTGGGTACTTTCTTGCTGGATCTTCCTGATTTTTGTTTAGGTTCAGGCAGGAGTGAGATTAGTTGACTTTCGGGTAAAAGCGCATAGCATAATAATAAGCCACGTGTTTCTTTCCCTTGCATAGAGAGTTTGTATATTCAGAGGAATCGGCCTTTGAAACAATGGCTGTGTGTTTTTCTGTTTTTTCGGGCTTCCATTCCAATTGGACATTTTTCAGACCATTAGGGTTTCAGGATTATTGGGCCATCTGAACAATCGCATGGCACCAGCTGTTTCCTCCTGTCCTCGTCTTTGAGCTAAAGCCAAATAAGCCGGCTGCTGGCTGTAGCTTCATACAGAGGAATCAAATTTATAATTTAACTCTTAACAAGAGAGCTACATTTAGAGCACATTTGCCTCCACATGCAGCTAACGGTGCAAATAATAACGAGAGTGCTGACAGAGTTCACAGTGTTTACCTAAATAGGGACCAGAGGTGGGGCTACTTATGTACTGTCTGCCTTACCAGCTGTAATCACTGTATTAGGTCAGTGCAGAAAAGCGGCCTCGAGCTAGCCAGTGGGGCACGTGCACTAACATGCACTAAAAGGCAGGAAGGGCCATATTCATATGAACGACAAAACGACAATATTCCTAATCAGCTGTAAGGACAAATTCATATTCCACTAATATTCCTGTTTACATGCAACCGTGCATATTCCAATTAACGTAAAACAACCCCGTGCTGCATCTTAATCACCGGAGGCCAGTGAATCGCACGTCAACGCCATTCTTGGCTGTGTTTGACAGGGGTCGATGCCCTTACATGTCGTTTATCACGTCAAAATAAACGTGAAACGGCAGGAGCCGCTTGTGTCATTTTACTTCAATACAGTATCCAAACGGAATATGATGTTTACATTCAGAATGTTGTCATATTCAGAATAATAGCCGAATATGAGCTCAAAAACACAACATACTAGTTCTCTTTGCTTGTATCGCAAACTAACTATGTTTCCAACAATATAATATAAATAAATATAAAATATAAGTGACACGGATACATTATACAGGGTTTCGGCTGATATTCAGCCTAATGTATTTGGGCCACAGTTTGCAGCCGAAGAAATACAGCGGAGAGAGGCTGAGGCCACAGTTGCATTAGCCGTGTAAGAGGAAAGGGCCTGTGAGGCGCTAGAAGCTATGCAGCAATGCATCCTGGAACATATAAGCACTGCCGGCATGGCAGGAGAACTCGGCTTTCTCGGTCAATATAGCACACACTAAGGAACCTTTACAAAAAATAGGTTTCCCTTTTAAACTGTGATTCCCCTGATGTATTTCATAAAATGTTAAATCAATAATCTCCTTTGTCCATTTAGAATGAGCTGTTACCCTTGGCCAGAGAGACTACAGCAAATACATTAAAAAGGAGTTTCTGATCTTGGGAAAGTGGGAAAAGTAATACTCCTCGATACCACTGTATCTCTTTAATTAAGTCACACACATTAAGGCTATACTGTGTGATCTTCTTTTGATAACGTAACGTAATATTTTTTCACTTCCATTCACTGAGCCTCCCCTGAACCAGTTAGGACTCCCCCTGGGATGAAACATCTGCCCTCGGAAAACTTTGTCTCAATATCACCCGATACATAAAAGCTAAACCTCCAAAGTGAGCCTGTGAGCCGCTGTACAGGTGCAGCATTTCATCAATACTGAATCTATGAACCACTGAGTGCCTCACCGCTAGACAATAAATACCTCGGCATCCACTTCCCTCTGTCATTCAATACATCCCCGCTGCGAGGCCCTCTGCCTGCTGGGCAGACGCATAAGGTCACTGGGCTTGTGTAGAGGCTGTTACAATAAAGATGTCAGCGTTCATCAGTGTCACCAAAATGCAGTGGTCTCAAACTGAGATGAGATCGTGGCATGAGTTGATAATGATGCCGATGGGGATAATGGGAAATGTCATAGTGGTGGAGATGATGGTGATAATGGGTGATGATGAGGATGACATGATAATATAAGTAGACGACAGAATTGATGCTTTTGGTGCTGTTGGAGAGGGACGGTGATGATGACCTTGCATTTTCAGTCTAATCCTTCACATACTTTCCATTTTCAGATTTCGAGTCAAGCCACATCATTTATATTTAATGCGTGTTTTCCCGGCCGCAGAGTGAAATTTGTAGCGCTTAATAACTGTGACCATTATGTCCTCACAGAGTCGGTACCCTCCTATTAAGACAGATTAAGCAGTTCTTCTTCGGTGGTGTCGTACGCGCAGTGAATCACAATCACGTGGGCTGCCGTCTAATCTGCAGCGCAGGGCAAAGACTGTGCACTTGGAGTGAGGGAACAGGCTGTGTTAAATCGTGATTTAGAGAGGGAGAGATGGAAGAAGGGGGACGGGAGGAAGGAGGTAACAGACGGACAGAAGATGTGAGTGAAAAGGGGGGATGCAGAGGAAAATACACAGAGAAAGAAGTGATGAAGCAGCGAGAGACTGGGACAGCTGCAGCAGCGACGTCACGGACAGCATGGAAAGGTTCTCCCCAACAGGAGGCTAGTGCAGATAAGGAAAATCTATTAGACATTAAATAGCCTTTTCAACATGAGGGTAAATTGTGCAACACAAGAATATTTCATCTGTCAACCAGCAGACTGTTGAGAGAGATGTAATTGTGTGACATAGAGTTTGATGTTGCAGAGAGTGGCTATTGTAAAGAAAATCACTGATTCGCTGCATAGATGGATGCAGCGTTTTGGAGTGCTATCAAGTTGACAGATGTTCCACACTGTAGGAAACCCAGGGATGGGTTGGAGGTATTTATAAGTCTCCTCAGTGCACAACACGGCTCATCTATTTCAACATGTGTGTACTCGGTGGAGGTTTGTGTCTCAGCAACAGAGTTTCAGAACTTTAATATGGGTTCTTGGTGGAGTTATTAAAGCAGAGTTGTTTGCCTCGGGGTAACAGCGTTATTGCCCGTTGGGGATTCCAGCCGAGAATGTAACAATTCTAATTGACGCTTTTGACTGACACACTTTTAAATGGGATCGACAGGGAGAGAGATGTATAGCCTTGGAGGTGCTGGTAACAGTAGAGAAATTATCGCAACTTTGTCCAACTGCACAGTTACCTCTCAAGAGCGCTGCAGAGCAGCATGATCAGGCCAAATCAGGGTTTACCCACAGGGCAGAGAGAGGAGATGCAGAATTGGCTGAAAGGTTGTGTGAAACCTTTGTTATTCAAGACATGAGTTTAATAGACAAGCATTTAACAGGCAAATTACTCAATCAATTTGCATAATGGGAAGATCCAGGATTTTGGGATCTTGACCAGGCGGCAACCTCATGTTCTGTCACGATCAGGCTTTGCCTCCTGTGTTTCTGTGTGTGGCTCCGCCCTGGTGTCCTCCCAGCTCCCTCCTGATTGCACTCAATCAACTCACCTGCCCAGTCCACCCAGCTGCCTTCAATCTACTCATCACCCAGCAGTATATCTACCCCGGTTCCTCATCCACTCACTGCCACATCATTGTCGTTTCAACCTGCTTGGTATCCTGTTTGTTCTCGGCTGCTCAGTGTGTTGCATTCTGAGTTCTGTTTCCGTTTTTGCTCACCTTGTCTTCCTCTGCCTGCAATTTGGTTCATCCTCCCGGTTCCCGAGTCTGCCTGCCCTGCCTGGTTTTCACCCTCGTCTTCTCGTCCTTGTATCTCCCTGTTGTTCCCTGTCAAGTTTCCCTTTGTGTCCACCTTGCATTAAACCCTGTTGTTTCACTCGGCAATCCCTGGTCATGTCTGCATTTGAGTCCACCACCACACCCCGTGACAGGTTCTGTTTAGTGAAGCCACTTCCGAAGTGTCTTCAAACTTGCACTCTCTCTACTCACCAGCAGGGGGCGACTCCTCTGGTTGCAAAAAGAAGACTGGTTGTATAGAAGTCTATGAGAATATGACTCTACTTCTCACTTGAATTATTCCCTCAGTAAACATGAGTTTTATTGTTTCAATCGCTAGTTTGACTTAGTAAGTCTTCTTCAATCCAGCATGATGTTCATTTAGCAAATTATGGCCCAATTAGACCATAAAGCGAAATACGCTTTAGGGCGGGGCTTACTACCAGAGCCGTATACGCCATCTCGACATCTTTCCTCCGCATTCCATATATGGTAACCTCCATTCATTGGTTGCGAAAAAAACATGGCGACGGCGAAATCGCTGAACTCAAGGCTTCAAAACCGCAGTCCACAAACCAAGGGGTGATGTCACGATGACTACGTCCACAAACAGTCTATGATCTTGACCCATTAGGGGCACTAAAAGTCAGGATATCTCAGCCTTCTTTTTTGTCAGTCCTTCAATTTTGTGGAAGTGCAAATCACTGGAATATCCCTTTAAGGAATATTTGTCTTCTATAATTATTGGAGCTTGAAAAGACAAGTCATGATATAGTGTCAGATGTTGTGCATTGTTTGATCCCTGGAGGTCCCTCGTTTACGAACATTACACTGCATTGAAGTCTATAGCATTCAACAGTACAAGCACTTGAAAATACATATACCTCAACTCAGATACAGATACATTACATTTCATCAATCAACATACAGCTTCTCAATATATATACAGTATATATAAATATCCCCCTTGCTGTTTCTGCCCAACTGATTTTCGCTGTTATCAAATGCAATCAACAAGGATATAAATATAACTGAGCTGGCCTCGAGGTGCGTGGATGTCCAATGAACCATGACATCCTGCATTGTCACATTACTGCTCAGTGAGGGAGGAAAGTAAGACGCTGCGCTGCCTGAACACTGGTTTGTGTGTTATTTCAGTGTGCCACCTAGCATCTGCTCTGAGATGTCCGTGTCGCTCTCCCTGGGTTCGTCTTTGAGACTGTAGTGAACTAAAGCCTGTAATTTCTCCCTGTAATGAACATGAATTGCTTGTTATGCCTTTTGTACAGAGGGTCTTAGATTGGCAGTTAGCACTTAACACATGATTGTAAATGTTACTGCATGTGTAGAGACGGCATGCACCGAAATGGCAGGCAACAAAAAGAGGATGTCGCGAGTAAAAATAATGCCTCTCACGTCGTCACCAGCGAAGTGAAGCGTAGCTGTGACATTCATGTGTAGGTTACTGCAATCAACCCACCATACGCCACTTTAACATTTGGCCTGAAGTAAAGGAACTCGCGCACAAACTCACATCAACTCTGCTCCTGTGATTTCCATTCAGAATATACCTCTTCCTCTCTCTCTCTCTCTCTCTCTCTCTCTCTCTCTCTCTCACTCTCTCTCTCTGTGAGTGTGTGGCGCCATAGTGAAAAAACACACCGCAGTTCTTTCTTTCAGTCAGTCAGTCAGTAGCCCTCTACACAGCGTCTCTCCCTCATTCAGCGCATGGCTCGCTCTCTCTCCACACTCAGCACGGGCTGCAACTCGCCTCCTCACTGCATCTGTTCTCTTCTCCCTGAAGTGAGGTACCATGCATCCTGCTTTCTCCTCCTCCTCCTCCTCCTCCTCCTCCTCTCCGCTTGTCTGTTACCATTCCAGGGTCCCTTTATCAAACAGAGCGTTCTTGCTGCAAAGCCGGGGACCATAAAGGCCTGTGTTACTCGCTCAGAGACTTTGGAGACGGGACTTGGCTGTTTGCCGGATCTGAGGACAGCTACTGGTGGCGCTTTCTGTTGGGATGCGGATCTCTGCGGGGTCTCTCTGCTCGGTGTCTAACGACGCTTGATTCCTCTCAAAGTTGCGGGAGGGCACGCGTCAATCAAGCATCTCTTCTCTGTTTCTCAGAGACAACTCACTGTGCGTAAGAACACTTGAATCAGAAATTATTATATTGTGTGTGCGTCGTAAGTGGAAGCAAATGCAGAATATTTGCGAGTGGTAATTTGCAGGCGTTTGCTTTGTTTCTGTGAAAGCATGACCTTGTTTTTAAGATGTGTGACAGGAGTTAGAAGGGTGTCTGTGATCATGCATGTGTACAGTGTCGAGAGCGCAGTGTGGCGGTCCGGCGTTACTCTCCTGACTTTAGGTGGTTGACCGAAAGGCTTAGTCGCGGTTGGAGGGCGAGAAACACTCCTCAGACACCCACAACTGGCCGCCCGACAAATCCTCCCAGACAGCCTAAAAGAGAAGCGTGTTAAAAGAGGAAGGAGAGGCAGACTTTGTGAACAGAAATGGACTAATCAGAAATAAGCCAGAAACCAAATTTGCTTGGAGGAGGTAAGGAAGATAAAAACGAGGACAGACACAGAAAGAGGAAAAATGAGATAGAAAGGCAGGAAAAAACTAGGGCAGAATTGCTCTCATCCTTCATATTGCCACGTCAAAGCAGATTAGTGGTGTGAGCAGAAGACACTAAAGAGGAGAAAACAGCACGGGACAAGAGAATACAGAGAGGTTTCACTGGTTTTTCCTCTTCTTTCATGGTTTAGCAGAACCCTTTCCTCGTCTCCTCACACCTTTTACCCTCACCCCTCTAACCCTTTGCTCTCAAGTGTCCGTCTCCATCGGGTGACTCTTTCAGCGACTCATTCAGTGCCTCTTCTCCTTCATCCCTCTCCCTCCATCTCCATCCTCTCTCATATATTCAGGTGGAGTCGGACCGGCACAGGATCCAGGATACACACTGACCAGGACTGCACTGCCGCTATGTCCAATTTTGACCTAACATCCGCTTGAGATTCTTCTCCTAAAGGAAACTGAACAATCTCATGCACCCATCACTCCTGCCTGTGATTTCCATATGAGATTCAGCAGCACCAGGCAGAACTGGCCTGGACCACTGACTTTCAACTTCACATAAGAACAACAAGGACAAAATCTAAGTTCCACGGACAGACAAAAGACTGTTTGGTACTTTAGGGACACATACAAAGCCTTGTTTGTCTTGGAGCAGCTCTAGGGGCCTTTTCCAACAGCCATGCAGGTGTCCTTTGCATGTACGGACCACGGGCTGAAGGCCCCGCGCAACGGCGAGCACAGCAAGCAGAACGCCACCAGCCCCAACGCGGCCAGCCAGGCCCGCGCCCGCTTCCGCACCGTGGCCCTGATAGCTCGCACCCTGAGCTCCTTCACCCACCGGTACCACCACAACCTCAAGGAGTCCACGGCCAAGCTCACCGGCATGAAGTATCGGTACGTAGACTGATGGTGGAGATTGTGTGACAAAGAAGAGTGAGGAAGTGTGTACCTAGTTTTAGTTGGTTTAGTTTTTTATTCGCCTGCCCAGCGCGAAAGGAAGAAATATGAATATGAATGACAACACAATAATATTATGCTAGAAATGGTAGAAAAACAAGACGCCTAAAATGAGAGGAGAAACTAGATAAATTAAAAGAGCCCCAATGGAGACAATGAAGCTATATTAGCAGTGACAGGTGATGAGTGGGATGGTGTGTGTGTGTGTGTGTTTGTGTCAAGATAAAATACATTTTTCCGAGATGCAGATTTATTGGCAACTCTTTATGATTAAACCACGATTAGCAGGGCTACAGCAAACTATATCTGGGACCGTAAAGGTTTATTACATTTTATTGAATTACTTTTCAGTGTATTTTGAAGAGGGATGACATATGTTGGTGTGGTAATGACAGATTTGTTCAAGCACGCAAAAAAGTTGTATTCAAAGCTTTTTTTTTAGAAGGGCATATTACACAAATTACACCTAATACCCTAATAAATAATACCCAGGAAACAAATATTATTCCATCACATGAAAGGAGCAACGAAAATGAAGAAAAGACCTGTCACAGGGATATTACCATACTTATATTATGAACACCAGATATGAACCATCTGATTATAAAAAACAAAGAATGAAATATGCAACTGGGATTATGATGAAGTGCATTCTTTGCATCTACAGCACATCAGCTCACTGAGTTTGATCTTGGAAAGTCTCTCACGAGCTAATTCAAATATCGCCAGCATCAGTAGAAGACTCATATAGCTCTCTTTGACCGGTCGTGACCATACAGTACATTCGGGAAAGATCGTACAGCTCTCCATGTGTGTGTCTGTGCGTGTGCGAGTAGTAACACAAGTAAACAATGCTCTCTTATCTCAGTGAGGGTGCTCTTAGTCTTAACCCAGAACCCTATAGGAGCGAAATGGTAGCTTTCGGCTCCCACTGGAAAAGGTGACATCCTCGCTTAACGGTGTCAAGAGAGACGCACAGAGAGAGACTGAGAGGGGAGGAAAGAGGGGCTGATGGGAAGGGATTGAGTTAGAAAGAAGAGATGGAGGACAGACAGAACAAAAAACAGGCAGAATTAGAGAGTGAATGAAAGAAATAAATTGGGGCACGCGGGTCAGTTCACAGAAAAGAGGCAATTAGCAGAATTGCGGCAGATTGGATGCAGAGCAGCTAAATGTGTACGTGTCTGCTTTCATCTCGTTTCCATAACAACATTGAAATGGCCAACTTCAATCTGTTCCCCAGCGCCAAACAAGCTGGGTGACTCTATTGTGCGAACTGGGTTTTTTTTGCTATTAACCAAGAAGATTCATTTTGAAATTGTATTGTTTTTTTAACTCAATCATTTGAAACTTTTATTTATTTATTTAAAGTCACAAAAGCAACCAACAAAGAAACCACATATTCTCCATGCTTGTTTCATTGTTACTTCTATTTACCTTGTGTTGCAGTACCGATGCAGGACTGGCCTCTGTTTGTTTGGGTTTGTAACATGAGGATTTGCTCGTTCTTGTAGCTCCCTCTAAAAACAGGTGGAGGATGTGAGCTGTAAAGCTTCCTTTAAGCCCTCAGCAAATTCCCTATTTTCACCACAGAGAAGCAAATATTGGATGCAATATCTCGTGTGTCACATTCCCTCTCTGCTTCCTCCCTGTGTTGTCTGATAATGTCTCTGCCTCGCTCCTCCAGTAGCTACTGTATCTCTGTCTCTTCCAAACCACTGACTCATAGCTGGGTGAAGTAGATGCTTCTATTGTTTCGGTCGCCATCTCTTTCTCTCGAGGTGAAGCCAGAGTCTGCAACTAAATCTGTGTTGCACAAACTCTTTTGAAGTTTTTCTCTGCGTGATAACGGAGTGTGTGTGCGTTTGCGGGCGTATGCATTTGGCACATTGCGTTACACACGCATGAGTGCATGCATGTGCGGTAGACGTGTGCGGCGCTGAGGCTCCGCAACGGGATCATCTGAAGGCGTACAGTAGCGAGTCGAAGCAGGAGACGCAGTGTGCAGAGCGAGCATAAACTAATAATACCACCATTAGCAGCATTTCAGTTGTCATGGCGATATATATATATATATATATATATATACTGTGTATATATATATATATACGTATGTATAGTGTGGTTCTAATTGTTCTTTAGGGGAAAGCTGTCGATGCTGTTCGACCTCTTTGTTGCTCTTGAAATAACGTACAAACCCACAAATAGGGATGCAAATCAGCCCAAAAACACGTGATGTAACAAACCGTGCCGTCGTTACTGGGCTTCTCAAATTGTGCAGATTATTTCTGGTTCCCGGCAGGGAGCCCCCGGTGGCCCGGATTGAAGTTTACAACGGTCATTAGGCAGCAGAAGGCCTTCTGACAGTCCAGGAGGTTTAGGGACGATTCCCCTTGGTTGGTTCGGAGCTGCGCTGCAGATGGGCATGCAGAAAATCCCTTCTGTCAGTTGCTGCGGATGCAGGCTTATCAGTGGCCTGCAGAGAGACGGGCTCTCTCTGCTGTGTGTTGACAGTGTGAGCAGGAAGTGTTTTGTTGTGCACACAGAATTGCCTGTTTGCGTTAGAAATGAAGGCATGGCAAGATACTGTGTCGGTATTCTGCATTTATTTTTTCATTATTGTAATCAAACCATAGGATTTTATAATGTCATAATACGATTTCCTCCAGAATCATTCAGAATCCTTGAGCTTGACCATATTTCAGTTTGACTCAGAGACCAGTGAACACAAACTACACCTAAAAAGATACCGTAACATCTAACCAGTGCCATAAGTGGGCTCTACTGGTCTATTCGACTGTGCACTGTCTTGTTGCACAGTCGAGCTGAATGAAAGTCCTGGGAGAAAAAAGCGCGCGAGTTTCCGCCACTTTTGTTTGATGTAGCGTGGGTGTCGTTCTTGCTTTCATGGATGAATCTGCTCTGCCTTTAGCTTCATCCTTTAGAATAAAAATCTCCATTCAATAAACCAACGGACTATCAAACCTTAAAGCAAAAAATACTGGTGTCAGTGACTGTCGAGGCCTTTTAACAGTTAAGGGCTTCCATTCAATAGTTTTTACATATTCTTTTAGAGGGTTTAGACGAGGTGTATGGGGGCCTGCAGCTTTTAACAGATGTATTTTAAAGGCTGATGCAACCTCCATCTGTCCGTCCGCAGAAAGATAACAGATATTCTGCAGCTGTGGCTCTCGTCAGGATGCGCCACAGATCATAATTGGCTTCGTTGTTGCTCTCCATGTGTTTATGTTTGTGTTTTTTGAAGTGAACTTTGGGCATGTGTGTGTGCATGCGCATGGTGCCTGTGTGCATACATGCGTGTGTGTCTGTGCTCATGGTAGCCCATCACGCTGCTTTTGCTCAGGGACACACTGTTTGGTGTGAGAGTGTACCCAGCTTCTTTTGTTTTTTGTTTTTCTGCCCAGTTTTTCATCATACATCAAAATACATGTGTTTCAGGTTCCAACATCATTCACTTCAGTTCATGTCACGGCCGTTCTTCTGTGGTGTGTAGTTCTAATAATATGTTGCACAACAGGAGCTCTGTAGAGCGGAGCTCCCAAAGACCAAACAAGCCCCCGAGGATAAGATCCGCCCAAACCCTCAGTTAAACAGCCAGGACGTTTTGCATGGATTTTGCGTTTTAATTAAAGGTCACAACTAAAATGGCTTTCCGTGAGCGTAATGGTTTTATAATAGCAAATCAGATTTCTGCTTTTTCTCCTTAAGTGGCCTCTGTAAACAGACTGTTATCACAGAGATCATCAAGAAAACACTGCTGCATGAGTATAAAAGGAGTACTGATCCGATAAACGCTGCCCGAGGTGAACAGAAAGCCAGTTTCCATCAGAAGAGATGGCAAGATACTGTATCGATACTCAGCATTTATTTCATAATATCATAATAGTTGCTACGATAACACTACAAAGCAACTATTTCATCTTCATTTTTTCATATTTCTAAGATCCTTGACAATGCAGTTAAACATGTTTCAGTTTCTCTTCTTCATTTCGATGCATGCAGGTGAACAGAACCTAAACCTAAAAAGATACCCTGACATACTTTCTATCAGTACTGTAAGAAGGTTTTCCAGATATCATGACATGATTTTATTTTTTTTCCCACATTGCTCAGCTCTCCACAGCGTTCTGAATCAACCACTTCAGATCTGCCCACATGTTTTTCAATACAGAATCAACCCACACGCCACTAGCCTCAATCATGCGTCTCTGACGAAAACACTGCTATTCTGTGAGAGATTCTTTCACAATCGGTTTGAAAGAAACAAACAAATGTCAGAGCGTTTTGAATTAGCCTTCCACAGCACGGTAACAAGAACAGTGTGTGTGCATGCCATGGTCTGTGTATGCTGCATGACAATGAAAAAAGTTTAAGCAATGTTGACTTTGGCCCTGTGGAAAAACAAAGCAGAAAGTCATGTCCAGACTCTGGCTCTTTATTGCACATACACACACACACGCACACACACACACACACACACACTACAAACATGCACATTGTGCAGGGCCCTGTAGGGAGCTGGCTGTCATTTCCTATTCCCCATTCTGTGTCATATAGAATGCTTTATCTGTAGAGGGCGTTTGATCTGCTTAGACTTGAGGCTTGGTCTTGCAACTATGCAAGCCTCAGTCTGTTGCTAGTGTCTCCTCTCTCTCTCTCTCTCTCTCTCTCTCTCTTACCCCCCCTTCTCTTCTCCATCCACTTCCTGTCCTCTGTCATTGGTGAAGATTCCACTAGGAGGCCTGTAGGCTTCGTCTTTCCCCCAGCAACTCTGCTGGAGCTTTTCTCTCCTACTTAATCTATTCATGTTTCACCCCCTTAAAGTGCTTGATTTCACTTCCCTTCATTCTTCCCGCCCACACAGGCCCTGGCTTTGATATATTTAGAATATGACCCGTCTTTCTACCCTGCGCTGAATTCTTTTTGATAACAACATCATGGTTGCCATCAGGAGAGCGGTGGGAACCGAGAAGGTGGGCGTTGTCTAATCCCTCCGCCCCTCGAGGTTGACTTGTGTGGGTTTTCTTAGTCTGCATTAATCCCCAGCGAGTGAGGAGTTTTATCTGTTCACTCACAACCTTGACTAAAGTCTTCGCTGACAAGTATTGATTTTGAGAAATCCAATATCAGGAAATAAATCATCCCGGGGTGTGACTTGAGAACGATAGAAGTGCTTTCCTGGGAAGAAACAAAAACAAAACCTCCCACAATAAAAGGTCACGCCTCCAAAGATTTAAGCACAATAAATAAAGCCAGATGTTGCCTTTCTTTTTTGTTACTGGGGATCCACTAAGAATAGAACGGGCTGCATACAGTAGCACCTCACAGGATGTTCATAAGCAGTGACAGGTTTGTGTGAGGGGGCGTCTTTAAATGACTCATTTGTCATTTTACTTCAAGGCTTCTTTTGGGCACCATCGAAGCATGAGGGACCGAGCCACACTCACTGGCTTGCAAAGTTGATTATGTGCAGTTTTGTACAGACACGTTTTCCTTTCCTTAGTTTGTTTATCTTACCATTGACAATATATAATATATAAAGAACTTGTGCCTCTGCAGCCCTATTTCTCTCTCCCACGTGCACACGAGCGCCCATTTTCTCTTCAACACAAAGTTATTCCTTCTCCTTCCTTTGTTGCTGATGACATCCTGTAATCCCCGGGATCATTAGCTTCTTTAGCAGCGGGCGTCTGCTGGCACCCAATTACCAGACCTGGACAGATCTATTAATGTGCTACAGCCGGCTGTGCGGTTAATAACCAGGTATGGCCGATGCTGTTGCTCCACCGGGGACAAGAATACAGCAGCGAGGCCGCTTCTCCGCCAGCTGAACGTCAGCTCAGCTCTCCTGCTATCATTAAGACATCTCGAATGCATTCAGAACATGCCACAAACACTGTAAACACAGCTTATGGGGGGCGGGATCTCCAAAAACAAAGTTAGCAATTTTCCGAGGACAACCAGCACACTGGAAAACGCAACATTCTCGCAAGCTTGTTTTCTGTGGAGATAATGTCCATCAACTTGTCACTGTAAGCATGTAAACAGTATCATTGAAGACCCGAGGCAAATCTAGGTACAATTTACAAACTGTTCCAGGCATTACAGATGCTTTACCCAGAGCGAACCTGCGATAAATACAGCCGTAAACATCCCTCGTCATCCGCGCGGTTTGCCCTCAATAACACCCCGAAACACACAGATTCAGTCAGTATGACACTTCTAACCTACGGTACAGCCCCTCCCCCACACTTTCACCGATCTCAGCTCCCACTCTATAATACATCAGAGAGACGGAGGATACAATATCCAAACTTCTCCACCGTGTCAGAGACAAGAACGCATCCCACGATTTGTGACAGCGGAGAGATCTGTCTCCCATCATGTTGTCCTCGGCGCCTGAATACACAACACATCAAAGGATCCATAAATGTGTCGAAAAGGGTTCATGTGTAAACACGTCTCCTTCTGTCTTTACCTCCTTTTCATCTTGGTGCTCGTCTGAACTATTGACACGATGACTGATGCTTCCTCTATGTCGAACACTTAATTTAATTGGCCGAGGGCGCGGTTACGTAGCACGGGCTCGGATTAGTCCGCCTTCAGCTCGTCGTGCGGAGGCCATTAGTTGTAAAACACGAGAAAAAAACACTGCTGGCATTTCTTTTACGGCCTCATTTGTCGTAGTGAGTAAACGCCTGAAAAACCAGGCAGAAGGTACAATTCTCGGACCAAACTGGGTCAAGAATTGAGTATTTGGACAAATTCTCCTCTCAAGATGAAACTTGTCGCTTGAGATAGTTGCTCTGCGTGTGCACGTGGCCCCCCGACAATTCTGTCAGACGATTGTGTCTCAATTTCACAGTGTTTTCTTCAAATCACTTCCTCTTTCAGGGCTGTGAATCACCTTGACGCGGTTTTCTTGCACCTACACTCCACATACATCACTCTGTGGGGAATACACCTGTGGTGGCTGGAGGGAAAACAATCGGCTCTCTCAGTTGGACATGATGGGGCACAGATTGGGAAACAAAATGGGAAACGGAGCGCTGAGATTGCGGCGAGAGCTCTGCCTTAGTTTATCTTCCACTGGGTTAATGAGAGCCAAAAGTGCAGTGTTATTGCCACAGACAGCTGGATGTAAATGATCTGTTATCTGGGACGTATATCAGGAAGTGTACCGTTGCACAGTTGGGTTGATGGGAATAGGGAGAGAAAGAAGAGGGTGTGAAGAGCTTTCTTGAGAAATGCTGATAGGATACAACCTCAGTGCTTGAGAGCGAGTATGGTTGTCTGCACAGGACTGAAGTGCTCCCTGCTGCAGGAGGATGTCAAAGGTTCTGAGTAAAAGAAGAGGTGATTGAATGAGGGATTAGGGGGGAGAGGTAGTGTAAACTCCCCAGTGCAGCAGCACAAACAGTTTTTGGAATTGTTTCAGTTATGAGTATAGTGTTCAGGGTCTTTAGAGGGCCACAATCTTCTTCCAGAGAAGGTGGGATTCATATTGATGGAATAAATCAACTGTCTTCCCTCCTGTAATCTCCCAATTCTGATTCATGATTGCAGGTGTGATAAAGGTGACCCTCACATTCAGGGATTCTCCTTTCTATCCAGCATGATAAGCTAGATCATTGTTGTTATTGCCCTACATATTGCAGGTAAAAGTGATTTTTGTTTGCCTGTATTCTAAGCTCCACAATAACAAAATTGCTGTCATCTCATCTCATCTCAGTCTCTTGAGTTATGATGTGGAAACAAGATATATTTTGGCTTTGTTTAAGCAGAAAATATGTGTGCGCCCAGAGCAAAATACAGCAGCACAGTAATTGCAGTCATAATTTGTATGATGACAACTTGAGCCTAAACAACACTTTTTTCTACTAAGTTTTTTTCATCATGTTTCTTCATAGGAACCTGGGGAAATCTGGGTTGCGTGTCTCCTGTCTGGGGCTCGGTGAGTACATCTAATTAGCATGAGCAGAAGCATCCAAGTGTGTATGTGTGTGTGTGTGTGTGTGTGTGTGTGTGTGTGTGTGTTTGTGCGTGTGTGTGTGTGTGTGTGTGTGTGTGTGTGTGTAGAGATAATATAGAGCCAGTGAAAAAGCCGAGTAGAAGGGGGTAGTGTTTAAATCTCATTAGATTATTTCACCTTGTTCTAAACCTCATGCATCTTTTATACGTATGGAGAGTCGTGAGAGACAACACAAAGCTGTTTGCTGAGTGAGAATATTTACCCCGTTAATATTTAATCAATAGCACTGGTTTCAGCAAAGAAGTTCAATTATCACACACATTCAATGTACACCAGAGGGTAAACACATTCATCTTGATATGACTGATTCATTGAGTAATTCTCTTGTGTGTGGGTGTGTGTGTGTGTGTGTGTGTGTGTGTGGTGGGGGGGTGGGGTGGGGTTCAGTGTGATTGCATGTGTGTGCCGGCCATATATTTATATGTGTATGTGTGTATGTGTGTATGTACTGTGTTGTATGTCTCTGAAGACAAAATAATTTGACAAAACAGAGGAATGCCGCAGTGCTGCCTGAGCCCAGCAGATACTGAACGATGGAAAATTGTTGAATGAGTTAGTTAATCATCCCCGTAGTGATATATTTTATTTTATTTTAAAGATTTAGCCTCAGCACATTCAGTAGCAGGGAGGAATAGTCAGGTAGGAACCATCCTTCAACTTAAAAGAATAGTTTCAAGCCTCGATATTTGCAAGCCTCATCCTCTGCCCTTAAGACATTGATTTGTCCTTGTAATGTTGCTTCTATGTGGGTTTCTGTTTTATCTTCTCAACTGCATAAGCAAATTTGAAAGGAATAGTTTGACGCTTTTTGCTTTCTTGACCCGTAGATTAAAGATTGATACTACCCTCATCTGTATGCTAAGTAAGGAGCTACAGCTGGCAGTTAGCTTAGCACAAAGACTGGAAACAGTCTCATTTGTTTAATTTGTAAAAAAAAAAAAAAGTGTAAAACAACGTGCTGTCGTTTTATGGGGGCTAATGGGTTATTTCTTGTCCGCCTGTTTCCAGTCTTTATGCTACGCTGCTAACCGGCTGTTTCTATCTTTATAGTAATGGTGGTATCGATCAATCAATTCCCAAAATGTCAAATTGGTCCTTTCAAATATATTTTGACTCTTGATACGTGAATCTTTAATTAGCTTTAAACCTGCAATAACTAACAAAGCCTCTCTTAGCTTTTGACAAACGACAGGGACTGTCAGTCTTTCTGCACCAACCCGTTTATAGAAGGAAAGAATGAGAAGATTTACTGAAACACAAACATAATGCATGCACATGCAAGAATCTCACAAAAACAAACACAAAACACCTAAAGCTGCTATGCTATGCTATGCTATGTTATTGTAATCAAAAATCTGCACGTAGAAGCTTACTCACAAGAAACTCATATGACAGCGAACATTTTTTTCTCTCAACCTACCAACACTCAACCCTGACATTTGGCTGTGATGGTTTTAGGGCAAGGCCGTTTTGTCATGTCATGCCAAAATGTCAAAATGATAATTAATGCATGGCTAAAATGATTTGTTACAAATCTTTGACTTCGATGTTTCCTTCAACAGGCACATGGGTAACATTTGGAGGTCAAATCTCCGATGAGGTAAGACGTTATGTCGGATCCATCATTCAGTTGTCACAGCTCATGAACAGATGTTGGCTTTCATTATTTTAGACATTGCAAATACAACTAGTGACCACTCTTGACAGTCTACTACACCCAGTCTGTAGCCTCCATGGGAGCAATTCAGTTAGTAATCATTCCATTCTATTACCATACTGTATCAAAGCAGGCTGTTAAGTCCCTGTTGGCTCTACCAAGTCCAAGTGATCTGGTCTTATTGCTCCCATGCTCTCCATAAGTTATTAAGCGGAAGACCGCTTCCAGTGCTTTGATCGGGCCTTGAAGGGAGGAAGTTGAATTGGAGACAGCTCATCACTGCCTGATGACCACTGGGACAAACTGACACACACAGAGACACAAACAAACTCACAGAAAAACAAAACAGCGGCCGAGTACAAAAAGATAAAGTCACCATGACAAAATTGGCCTTCCCATGTATGGCTCTGAATAAACTGCAGGCACCAAAACTAGGTCAGAATAGTCTGGGAAATATATTGAGCAGTAAACAACTTTAATCAACAAGCATCCGGGCAGTTTTCCTGGTTTTGTGTATCTCAGTAGAAAAGAGGTTTACTCTCCTTGAGCTTCTTCAGGGAATTTTCCCAGCCCATCCTTTTTGAAGTGTATTTTTGGGTCATATTTATATTTATAGCACATTACACCACATTGAAGTCTGTGAGGGGAAATTATTTTTGTCTATATCAGGTGGCAGAGCAGCTGATGACTATTGCCTATGAGAGCGGTGTCAACCTGTTCGACACGGCTGAAGTCTACTCTGGCGGAAAGTGAGTTGTCTCAGATTTGTTATGGCCTTGCCCCCCCCCCCCCCTTCATATAGGACACGATACGTTAACAAGGTTTAGCCCGAGACCAGGAAGGAATTATTCACCTGAGAAATACAAAAATGAAAGGTAGCTTGACTCTAAAGTGATCTACATAATCTTATTCATCACTGGAGGCTCCCCATTATGTTCACAGCTCAATCTAACGTTATAGGTCTGCACATTGTCTCGCTGAATGCTGCAGAGCAGGCTGTAGGTGTATGGGGATGAATATTAATTTCAAGGTTGTGGGTGGAATCCAGGCAAACAATACAGGCGTTCATCCTTCATCTTGTACTCCTGCTGATTTTGAATCGGGTATTCATGCTGTAGATGTGTGGCAGATAATAGTCACGCTCACATGCTCTTCGAGAAATGGCAGCCTGAGATATAATCTCATCGTCTTCTTGTGTATTTTTTTCTTTGCAGAGCAGAGATAATCCTGGGAAACATCATCAGGAAAAAGTGCTGGAGGTGAAGTACAGTCTCTTAAGATTCTAAATTAGTTCCATGAATAGGTCTTTAGATTGTGTACGTGCGTATGCACTACATGGCCAAAAGTGTGTGGACAAACCAACTAAATCTGTACCTATATGTTTGCATCTTATTACAAAATTGCATGCACTCCTCTGAGGCTGCAAGGATGCGCTCCTATTCAGCTACAAGAGCATTTGTGAAGTCAGGCACTGATGTTGGGAGGTGTTCCAATGTATCCCAAAGAAACACAGAAAACCATGTATTTATGGCTGACTTTGTGCATGGTGGCATTGTCATGTCATGTGAGTGAAGGCCCTTCACAAAGGTTGAAACATGCTTTAGTCTAAAACGGTTGTCCCAATCCTTTCGGGCGAGTAATTTCAAATGAAGCGATCGCTGTGAAGCTGTGCTTAAGACGATGCTAACATGTTGATGTTTAGCAGGTATAATGTTTATCCTTGTAAGCATGCTATCATATACAGCAAGTGATGGGAATGTCATCATTTTTGCAGGTATGTTGGTCATAAAGTATTGAACAAACTGAAATTCTGAACTGATGATGGCCATTAATGAAGGTCAGGAGATCAAAGTCATCCTATAATGTTCGTCCGTCCAATATTTATCAAGATATTTCAATGAAAATCAAAAATGTCAACCTGCTGGTAGCGCTGGAGTAAAACTAAGGGAATCACCAAAGTAGTTAGGATTTAACCTCTCGGGACCTTTAATGTCCGAACTGATTGTTGTGCCAGTCCATCCAATAGTTGAGATACTTCAGTCTGAGCCAAAGTGGTGGAACAACCCACAGACCCACATTGCCATCAATTTAGATTTATGTTAGAATCCCCTTTGGGAGGGTGCTGAACCCAGGTTGGGAACCACTTTTTGTTATTATTCAAGTTTTCCTTTATTGAAATGAAGGACAGAAGCCCAAACCATGAAAAACAGCCCAACAACTTTGGCCACATGGTGTTTGTGTGCTTGTATATACCTCTGCTTTCAAGCATTGTACATGGTAAATTGAAGCAGTGGAAGGTGCAGAATGCTGGTGAGCGTGAGCTTGTATCTGCGCCACAGAACATATCAGTTTCATACATCTATACATGCACTGCCACACTGCAGTGATAAGATTCAGTTATTTCTATCACCCTTCTCAACAACTCATGGCAACTCTCTGCCTGCTGTAACCTCAACTCTGGATCCGTTTCAATTATTGATCATTCAAGCATGGGGGACTTTATAGTAAGGCAGATATCTTGGTGGAGTTCAAAGAAAAAAGAGGTCCTTCTGTGATTTTTCCTACTAAATAAGTTACATGTTTGATCTGCAGGATAAAAGGTCACTGGAATGTCCATGCAATGCAGCATTGGACATGCTGACGTACGCATCTTTTTGACAACAGCTTTCAAGTCCTTTTCATGACCTTTTGATGTGTCTGTCTGTCTGTCTTCCCTCAGGAGATCCAGCTTGGTCATCACCACAAAGCTTTACTGGGGAGGAAAGTAAGTGTGTGTGTGTGTGTGTGTGTGTGTGTGTGTGTGTGTGTGTGTGTGTGCATGCAAGTGTGTGTATGGCGTCCAGCATGTGTGTTTTCCTCCTCAGATGTTGGGGCTGTCTCACCAACAACAAGGTTTCACATTAAAATATTTAGCCACACAGCGTGACATGACATCGACCATTTTGGAAAACCCACAGGCGCACAGACACGGGGGACACACTCGGAAAATGAGTGACACACACACAAATTTCAACATGGCCAAGTTCCCACCCCCTCTTGATTCCCTTTATACTTTTCCTCAGAATTTTGCCAAACTGCCAAGAGTCATATCTGCTTCTTCTTGACATGCAGAAGTATTCTGCTCTCAGTCTGCGTTAGTAACATTCTCTCCGTTTCTAAAAGTCTTCAGGCTCGTACTCGGGGAAGTAGAATCTCCATAAGTACATCCACATCCTTCCTCTGGTTCTCTTTTCAATATCTGATGTAGCTGAGTGGGGGCCGAGGTGCAATTGTGAAAATGTAATTTAAGCTGATCCTTTCAGAGTATTGTCAAGGTACCAAATCAGTCCCCACGCCGGAAGGATTTACATTACAACTACTTAACCCCCCCCACTGAGCGAACTGAGAGGCCTGTCAAGCAGCTCATCACCCAAAACATACAGTAGATATTTGCAGACTTTATTCTTCAACTTCCCTACACTTTTGCACAGAAGGTTTAAAAAAAACATGATAAAATGGAGTAGGGGCTTTGTCTTTGTAGTACATTATTATAGCCCTAAGCAGGCTGCAACACCACAGGAAGGCAGAAAAGAGGAAAAGTGTGAAATGAAGCAAGGACAAGACAAAAGACAGGCAACTGAGAAAAGAGAGAAACACTGGAACAGAAATGAAAGAAAGAAATCAAATGGAAAAGGAAAATGCAGGCATGGGGAACATGTGAAAATGACTTCTGACAAATCACTGAAGCGCAGTTTTGGAGATTTGCAGGTGGTCCGGTTTTATAGCTCCACAATGTTGACAAAACACCTTTTATTAACCCACTGTACACATGCTCAGCGCTACATGTCAGACGCACAAAGTTAGCGACAAGCTAATGAACATATTGGAGCAATTAGCAGCTACTGACCCAGATATTTCCCTCAGGAATTGGTGGACACCTATACAGATCTATAAGGAGAGGGACTATTGGACTTATATTTTGCATCCAAACAGATACTAATGTTGGTCTTAGCTACACTATGTATATATGAAAATCTAAATGAATCAAAATAAGTTACTACTAATATATAGATGTAATGAAGTGTAATATTTCTAGGAATAGAAGTATAAAGTTGACCTGTAATAAATACCATACTTGAGTAAATGTACTTTGTTATGTTCCTGCATTCAAAAAGCTATATTTTCAACCAAGTGATTGTCCAGTTTTTTGCCCCAAAATATTTTCACCTGCGTATCACCTGTGCCCTGCCAACTGGCAGGCCACTGGTGATCAGGACAAGACGGTGACGACGGGCCCTGTGTGCACGGACACGCTGCACAGTTTGTTCTATAGCTGCGGGCACACTGCTGAGCGTCGAGTGGGTGTATTTCTCCTCAGTGATTTCTTTGTTATGCAGGCTCTTGTTTTGGCTTGTTTAATGATCTGCTTCAGTTCCTGAGAGTTGTGCGTGAATGTGTGAATGTGTGAATGCAATGCGTGTGTGCTGACATGCACTTCTTTCCCTCCTGTTGCAGAGCAGAGACAGAGAGAGGACTCAACAGAAAACACATCATCGAAGGTAACAAGTCGATTTCCTCTCCGCTGCTTTGTCCTTCACGTCACCCCATCACTCAGAGTCCCGCTGCACTCCTGTAATCTCCCTCTTTTATCTCTGCCCCTCCCCCTATTCTTCCTGTCTGTGTCTCCCTTTGATTTGTATCGGCATGTGCACACGGCTGAATTTGAATGTTGTATTAGGCACATCAAACCCTGACAGATGTTTTGTCTTTTCAGTTGTAATACCTTTAAAGGTTTATTATGAAGAAGCTAATATGCTACAACATATCTAGTATCCTCCACTGCTCCTCTTCTCTTCTAGAAGAGTTATGGCCTTGCTTAAGCTTATAATGACATACTGCTCTCATCCCATTGGCCCGCCATCCGGTCCACAGCGCAATGCACCTCCTGCAGTGACTCAGCTCTCTCCCACGTTATTAACATTCACCACAGCCTCTGCAACTCCCCCCCCCCCTCGAAAAAACAAACAAAAACCCAGGAGAAGGGGAAACACACTTCAGATGGGCACAGACTGATAAAGCGGAAGGAAAGTTGGTACTGCCAATTAGCTAAAGCCAGCCTGGATGATCGGTGCCATCCGTTAGAGAAAGATGCAGTGTCCCTGCCACTGGTGTGGCACATGTCACCACGTGATAAATTGGCTGGGTTAAACATCTGCTGACGCCATCATCCTCACTACTGGCCGTGCATCCCACCACAGGCCAGTCAGTGACATCTACCAGGAATGATGGGGTGTCAAACTTAATGATCAATGGCAGCGACCAGCGCTGATGAACTCTGGGGTGCAAAAAAAGTCAAAGTCTCTCTTTTGCAACCGGCTTGCGCGTTTACCATTTTACTCACAGGACAAAGAAATTCCTTGATCAGTTCAAAGAGACTTTTGCAGAACACATAATTGAATGCATTATTCATCACAGATGCCGGTAGAATAGCTTTGTGGTTCAACATCTCAACGTTTTTTTTCTCAGCTCCAAAAATAGACTTTCCTTCACAGCCAGTAAATTGCAGATAATCCACGAGACAGCAGACGCTGCTCGCGATGAAGGTGCAGGCTCCGATTAGGATCCATGTAGGCTAATGGGTGTTTCTGGGATCGCGGGCCTGCAGATGACAGAGGAGGGAACAAGTGGGAAGGGAGCGGTGAGGAGAGCAAAACTCTCAACTGGGATTAGCGGGCAATGATGAAGCCTCTGGCACTAATCTGCCATGCACGCTCACACATACTCAAGAGCGCAAGAGTGTCTTTTGCCTTGTCTCTCACTCTGCTGTCCTCCTTTGTGACAGTCTCCTGTGTTCCCTTTTCATCTTTCATCTGGCCTTCTCTGTGCGTGAATGGGGACTGATCTGCTGAGACAATACTTTGTTGCCATCTCTTATCCTCTCCTCAACGCACAGTCTTTCACTTCCAGCAAATGCAGAGCGAGAGGGAAAGAAACGAGCGCAACGTTTTCTCTGATCCCTCGTCTTTCTTATCGTCCTCACAGCTTTTGAGTTTTTTGGTTCCTCCACCACCTTTCAAAGCAGCATTCATTTACGTAATGAGGATCAAAGTGTGCATAGATGCGGGGCTTTTTCCACGGAGGTCTTCTTGCCAGGAGATAGTGGCGTGAACTCAGCTGTACACTGATATACCTTGTAGTCCCATAACCATGACTCCAGCTAGGTAAAACAGACGGATTATGACAACTATGATTCACGTGCGAGCTGGATAAAAAGATGCGCGAGGCCAGATGCAGCTGGCAGGCCTTGAGTCACATGTGGTTAACTGTCACCTCCACGTTAATGAACATGTTGACTTCCCACAGGGTCTTACTCACCCTGTTTGTCCTTTTACCTGATTCTTTGGTTTAAATGAAAAAATTAAACTAACACTCTTGAACACATGTTTTTTTTTTGTATATTGTTGCTCTGAGGTGGAAACCATCACAAATATTTAAAAAACAGCAATAATCAGTATTGTTATATTAACAATACGTGTTGGCAGAAAACCTATTGCCGGTTTAAGTATGCTTCAAACTATCTGATTTTAGTGTAACTTCATTCCTATTTCTTATCTACATAACAGTGTTGAATTAATAGCAAGGAGAGTTGGAGCGTGATACATGCACACAGTGATTATCACTCTACCTCTGCAGGTCCAGGCCAACGTGTCCATGCCCAAAGGTGTCAAAGGACAAATGACACAGGAGGAGTATTTATTGGTAGAGGGTGATGCTCGGGGCTTATTTGAGCTATGTTGCCTCCTTATTTATATGGGTGTCAATTCACCCTTTTCGAAATTAGAAATATTTATTGATGTGTTAACGCTATGGTTGGTAACACATCTATTCCAGCGGTACAACAAATAGGCTCAATGCACATGACTCCTTTGGACTGTTTTTGTCTTTCTTGGACTTGCTTACATCTTTCTCAACATCTTCTCTCCTCTCATTTCAGGTTTAAAGGGTTCCCTCCAGAGGATGCAACTCGAGTATGTGGATGTGGTTTTTGCCAACCGGCCAGACAGCAACACTCCCATGGAGGGTGAGTGATGGCCATCCACACCCCGGGGGCCGGTAGGGACAATGCATGTTGTTCTGAAACATGAGATGGTGAGAAATACAGGCGCTGGCCTCACCGGACTGGTGACCTTTGTCTTTGACCAAAGGGGTTTGTCCTTGTGGTCGAGTGTGTGTGTGTCCACCACTGACACACACACACACACACACACACACACACACACACACACACACACATTTCAAGTAATCTGACAATCTTGCCTCACCTCTCATCCCTCTATTTTGGTCTGGCACTCTCCCTCTCTTTCTCTTTCAGTCTCTGGGGGATCACTAGTTTCCACAGGGTCTCTGAGCTACACCCGCTCCCAGCCCTCCCTGTTCTTCAGAAGCAGGATTAGCCCCCCCCCCTCCCCAAGGGGGAAGCTGGTGTATTTTTGGGCTGGTCTCACTACAAGCCCTACTGTGCGCTCCATTCCTTCAACATACTAGTGCTGCCTTTTCCACACATCCACCTTATGTGGCCATTTATTGCTGTTACACACTTCCAGTTTCTTCCTTGATTACTTCTCCTTTGTGCTGTGGCCATCACAGATACTCGGGCCCCTCTTCTATCCACTCCTAACCCTCGTCCACGGGTTGAATTTGGCTGGAAGGACGGAGTCCCACTGTTTTGCAAAAATACTTCCCAGTCTTTCCACTTTGCCCCCCATGCGTCCTCCCCTGTGAGCCAGCTGACCGTGGGCGGTCAATCTGTCATACTTATCGTTCTCGGGGCCTTGCTGTCACTGGTAGTACTGGACTGGCAGGCAGACCCGACAGCGTGCTCCATCACACCTTCTAGTCATCTGTCTCTGCAGATAAAGTCAATTCACCATCGACAGCTGATGTAGAGAAATCCAACCTGATTGATCGAGAGTCTGCCAGGATGATCAAAACTGCACAGAGAGAGATGACGGATTAAAAATGCACAAACACCAACAAACAAAGATAGATGGGCTGTTTTGCTTTCAGCAGCTGTGCCCCACAGGCGCCCCATGAATCAATTTAAAACATTGTGCACCTTTTCTTCATCCTTCATTACAGTGGAGCAAGGCCACTGTCATAAATCACTGTGTAGCGGGTCAGCCACTTTTAACGAGAGAGAGAGAGAGAGAGAGAGAGAGAGAGAGAGGACTGCATGTACAGACGCACAAAAAAGATTTTCTCACTAGCTTCTCTTGGAGACTACTTGAATTTATTGTGCTAGCATGCAAAAACGTGGGACATTTGCAGTTCATAGGACTTGTTATGTACCTGACTTAGATATTGATTCACACACCAACATGTTCCTGAAACTTAAAACAGGATTAATAGCATTGAAGGGCCCCACAAATGTTGTATTAAGATAGGAATGTTAAGATTACTAACAGGTGTGTGTGTGTGTGTGTGTGTGTGTGTGTGTGTGTGTGTGTGTGTG